GTGGGACCGCTCTGCAAGGGGATGTCCAGTGGTCTACAAATGGGCTTTGGGTCTCCACTCCGCACCTCCCCCATCATTCACTATGGTAAGATATTTTGTTCTGATGATGCCTTATACTTGATCCCTTTGAAACCTCGTGATCACACAGGCTGGTGTGCTTCTTCCATGGAGAGGAATATTTCTTCATGACAAAACTGTAATAAGAGTAAGGGTCTCAAGGCTAGCCTGATCTGAAATTTCCCACACCACTTAAACATTTTGATTAATGTTTGCTTCAGGGAAATGAGCCCCTCATGCCATGAGGAAACGTCGCACGCTCTTGAGATGTGTGATTATAGCTGTGTCAACCCTAACCCTAACCCTAGCTCTAGCCCTAACATTAACCGTAACCCTAACCTAACTATAACTCTATCCCTTAACTTTTTTTTAAACCCTTAACCCTTAATACTTAACCCAGGTATTATTACTTAAGCCCTAACCTGGCCTTAAACCTAAACCAAGCCCTAACCTAGCCCTAACCTTAACCCTAGCCTTAGCCCAAGACCTAACCCCAATCCTAGTCGTAAAATAAATAAATAACAACAACAACAAAAATAAAGCTGTATCAACTTCAACCAGGGATGTTTTATGAGCCCAATGAAAACTATAGCAGATGATGAAGAATCCTTGTACTTCATTGCTAAAATCAATTACTATATGATGTTGCCCCTTTGTGCCCCATAGGCCAGTAGAATCCAGTTCTGCACTCCTAACCCGTCCACAGGTGACATCAAGGAAACCGAAGACTCTCTTTGTTTTGCGAGTGGTGTTGATCTGTGTGAGAAATTGTTCATGGGCGGCCTCAGTTCTCGACTGTGTAGACCGATGCCCTCCAAGTCGGGTGTGGTCCCTCTGAACACCTTCCCACAGGCTGAGTGGACTCTTCTCTCCAGCCGTGTACGCGGGATGCTGTCTGTGGTCATGGGCAATAGTCAACCGCTGGTGAGAAACTGGAGTTTGCAACTCGCATGCTCTACATGTGGGCTTCCCTGTCATTGCTGCCTCCCTTCCAAAGAGCTCGATTTTACTGTTGCTTCAAATCCTAACAGCTTACTTTGGGAGGAATTTTCTTTTCCTCCTGGAGTCGGGAGGGAAAGAGAGACTAGGGGTCTTGACTCTGTTGAAATCTACTGAGTCACCTCCTTCTTCACGTGCCCGAAGCGGAAGCGTCACAACCACCGCAGGCAGTGTCCCCTTGCTTCAGAAGACTAAGGTGACGCTTCTCTGACCGCCCTGCACGCTGGATGCTTCCCGTCTGCCGGGCCTGAGCTCGGCCGAGGCTCCCATTCGGCTGCACTGCGCAGCCGCCATCCCGTGCAGGTGCTCCTGCCGCTCGCTTTCCATCGAGGAGAACGCTGGGGTCAGAAGGGTCAACTCGCTACCTTGAGGAGGTTTTACCTTTAGCCGGGACACAGTTACAGTTCGAACCAAGTTCTACCTGATTGTAAAACGCCCTTGTTCAAAGTAAAAGTGCCTGTAGCCTTGTTTTTTTAACTTCACTGTGCTCCCTGAGACACGACTGGTATCGTTACTGTAGTAGATGACTCTGTGCGTGGTTCTCCGTGCCGTGGCGCTGGTTGTGACTCATGGTGACTCCATCGACGTCCCACACAATGGCACACGGCCTGGTCCTGGCCAGCCTGCAAGTGCAGTCGTGCTTGGCTCTTTGTTGCAGCCACTCTGCCAATCCCTCTCGTTGGGGGCGTCTTCCTCTGTTTCGTTTCCCCTCTACTTCATCAAGCATGATGTCCTTTCCCAGGAACTGGCCTCTCCTGAGGTCTAGAGCACACGAGACAATGTCTGGCTGGCCTTGCCTCCAAGGAGCTTTCTGGTTGTACTTCTTCCAACACAGACTTGTTCTTTTGGCAATCCATGGTACTTTCTCTCTCTCTCTTTTTTTTTTCCTGAATAATATTTTAATTGCATCCCTTACTCATTCCAATGTATCCCTTCCCCCCTCCTACAGTTCTGTTGTTCAATCCGATTGGATGGGGCTCTCCAATCATCACTGAATGCCATTAACTCCCCTTTCCCAACACCTCCACCTTGCTTCCTGTACCTACCGCTATCCCTTACTCCCATCAGTGTCTCTGAGGGATCATCTATTTTGACTACCATGTACTGAGTGATCTTAAATGTACAAATGAACATTTGCAAAGCTCACATGACCAATGAGGTATATCATGCACAGACCATAGAAGTCAGGGGAGGGAATCTTAAAGAACTAGCGAATAATTATGTGGTTCATCGGTGCCATACTGTACCCTGGATTTATCCTCTGTTCTATGAGGCCCTTCTAAGAGGGACTGCCCAATTTTCCTGCTGGTGGACTTTGGGTCTCCCCTATGTCCAGTCCCCTTCATATCCATTTGGATGCATGGTTTTTTGAGCTTGTGATACCTCTTCCCATCAACACCTCATGATCACACAGGTTGGTGTTCTTCCTCCATGTGGGCTTCGTTACTTCCCTGCTAGGTGGCTACTTGTTTAACACCAAGCCTGTAAGACCCCAGACACTATAGCTTTTGATAGTCAGGCACCATCAGCTTTCTTTACCAAATTTGCTTATGCACCCATTTGTCTTCAGTGATCATGGCAGGAAGGTGAGGATCATACATTGCCACATTATTAGAAACAATTGTTCTTGTACAGAGGTAAGATTTAAGTAGAGGTCCAAAGTCCATCTGTTTCCTTGTTGCATTTACATATGTATATATATAAAAATATATATTCATATATGTATTGTTATACATAAATGCATGCACACATATATATATATGATTTTGATTTTTGTTTTTCCCTCCTACTCCACTACTATGCTTGTCTGTTGCTCACCTCTCAGCAATTCTTCTCAGATACAATTCAATTTCTCAAATATGCCCCCAAAAGCCACACCCCCCTCATGGTCCATTTAGAACTCTTACTGTTCCCCTGGACCTGTCATTGTTGGCTCTCCACTCATGTCCCTGCCCCCTTCTCTCCTCCCATACCCCTCAAGAACTGTTGGTCCGGCCACCGCCTCCTTAAGACTGCCCATCCTGTTTTCTTGTATAGATCAACACCAAAAAACAAAATAATAATAACCATAATAAAACAAAAAAACTAAATAAAACAAAAGGACAAAGAAAAAACATCTATATACAGATATCCACCAGACGAACAGGGATCATGACATAGAGCCATATTCTTGTTGAAAAGTCCAGTTTCCCAGAAGTCCCATGGTGCTTTCAATACCCTTCATAGCATCATCATTCCAAGGTATAAGGGTTTTGTTTTTTCTAGTCTTCCATATTTACTGTCCAATTGTAGTATGCATCTGCGGCAGTTGAAAACACCATGGCTTGGGTCAGGTCCACAACAGTCCTCAAAGTGACATCTCTGCTTTTCAACACTTTAAAGCAGCATTTCTCAATCTGTGGGTCAGGACCCCTTTGAGGGTCGAATGGCCCTTTCACAGGGGTCGCCCAATTCATAACAGTAGCAAAATGACCGTGATGACGAAGCAACAAAAATGATTTTATGGTTAGGGGTCACCACCACATGAGGAACTGTATTAAAGGGTGGCGGCATTAGGAAGATTGAGAACCACTGCTTTAAAGCAAGTGCAGAAGATTTACCCAATATACTGTATCATTTGATCTCTTGATTGGTGCTCCCATGAGCATTGATTGTGGACAAATTGTAGATCCAAGCAAGATGAAATCCTTGACAAATGCATGAATACATTATATAACAGGTGGGAAAAAAAGTAAAGTGAATATAAAGTAAAAATAAATGTAGTTCCCTTTTCTATCCCCATGAAGATTTACAGTCTTGGAAACTCACAGGGGCAGTTCCACCCTGTCCTCTATGGTGGCCGTGAGTCACAACCTACTTGAAGGTCGTGAGTGAGAATTCCTACACCCCGATCCTCCTGGTTTCATGTTTTGTGTAATTACTGCTATCAGTTTATACTATATCCTTGGAGATATATCCTACAGATTAAAACATGGATAGCACACATATATGTACGCCCAAGGCAGACATCAGGATTGACTTTGGCATTAAGGTTGAAGGAAGGCTCATTAACAACCTGTGATATGCAGATGACATACACTCTCTTGCTAACAGCAAGGAGAACTTGAAACACTTGCTGATGAAGATCAAGACTGCAGCCTTCAGTGTGGATTACAGCTCAATACAAAGAAAATCCAAATCCTCACAACTGGACCAATAGACATGATGATAAATGGAGAAAAGATCAACATGGTCAAGGGTTTTATATGGCTTGGAGTTCATGCTCATGGAAGCAGCAGGCAAGAAATCCAACGACATTGGACAGATCTGCTGCAAAAGACCTCACTCCAGAGTTGAAGAACAAGGAGGGCACTTTGAACACTAAGGTATACCTGACCCAAGGAATTTGCCATGAGACGTCCTATGCATGTGCAAGTCGGACAGTTAAGCGGGAGATCAAAGAAGAGCTGGTGAGGAACACAGAAAGCACCATGGACAAGGAAGGAGCGGATGGACAGGCAGCGCTGAGTCATTTCCTTCTGTGGCACTAGGGTCACTGTGAGTCAGAACCTACTTGATGGCCCCTCACCACAAAACACACGCATGCTGTGCAGACAGGAGCAGACAAAACACACGTTTCATTATCTTGCTCAGTATGACACTGTAGAGAAATATCAGACATTTTTAACAGTCCTATTTTGATGGGCATCTTAAAAAAAAATGTCCCTCACAGACCCTTCCAGGTACCACCGAGTCCCTCCCACCCGCCAGCTTTCCCAGGCACGTCTGACCTTAGGGATGACGTATGTTCTGAATTTCGTGTCCTTGGTCACAGAGTGGGGCAGATTACAAGGAAGGAGGGTGATGAATCTTTGTATCTCGTGCAACACGGCCTCCGTGTAGGGCAGCTTCGTCTTGTCCATCATACAGGGGCTTTGGTTGGGGCCAAT